AAAAAAAAAAAGAAAAAGAAAAATAAATATTAAAAAATTCTCTCTCAAAAATAAATAAATAAATTCTAGAAGCTTTCTGGATAAACCTTAATCTAGTGTAAAGGAATCAGCAAATTCAATATATAGTACCTGACAGGTGAATAGAGTTATCCCCACTGAGCCTGCATTATTAATACAGAATTATTAATATAAAATCTGCATTATTAATACAAAGGCTTTCTAATCTGCATACCTTTATATCAATGCTAACAGTCACTAGCTACAACTACAAGTACACACTTAATAGCAAGTCTTATGGTTTTGAGTACTAAGTGTAAAGGAAGAGGAAAAATCAGATAAAAAGGAAACTAAACGAAATTTTAAGGACAAAACATTACCCTATCCAAGAGAGAGAAGAAAAACAGGAACACAAAATTAGAAAACGTTGTCAGCATCCAAGAAACTCAAACTCATTCTTAACTCATTCATCTAAAACAATTCTTAACATATACATTTTTTTTTTCCTGGTAAAATGAAGTCTTGGGTTTTAACAACTTGCTCTCCTGGTTTAGAGTGTATTTGTTAATTCACAGCATACCTTCATGACCAAGTCCTGCCTTCTTCAGACATTTTGCTATTATTGTTCATGCTGTATTTCCAGGGCCTAATAAAAGCACTGAACACATAAATCGTCAAATGAATAACAACTCTTAGAGAAAGGTATTATTACCACCCTGGTTTTACAGATGAGGAAACAAAGGTGTAACAAGATGAAGTAATTTGACTAGGAATTACAAACCACTAACCAGAAACAAACCCAAGTCTGACCACAAGTCCTTGCTTATACCATACTCTTAGTGGGCTATTGGCAGCATAACTTCTTTTTGTTTGTTTATTTAATTTTTTTGGTACTGAGAATTGAACTCAGGGGTGCTTTACCACTGAGCTTTTTATTTTTTGAGACAAGGTCTTGCTAAGTTGCTGAAGCTGACCTCAAACTGTGCTCTTCCTGCCTCAGCCTCCTCAGTCACTGGAATTGCAGGCATGTGTCACTGTGCCGGACCAGAAAAACTTCTTAATATCTGGTACTTCAGTGTCTTACTGGTGACAGACAGCTCTCTCTTCTTAGGGAAGGCTCAATTTAACCTTTTCCTGAGCATTCTCAATCTCTGATTCCCCTTAGGGACCCATGTAGACTTCTCTCTCTTTTATGCTGGGCTCTCTCCAGACTACTAACTTTAACAGTACTTTAGCCCTTTGCTCTACTTCTGTCAACTCAAAGCTTATTGAGGGTAGGAATCAAGTATGTTGAAGTGCTCTGGCTCATAATTAAAGTTGATTTGCTGCTAAACATCCTATTTGCAAAGGACAAGCCACTATAAGAGAATGGTCTGGCCCAAAATGCAAATATTGGCAAGGAGGAGAAACTCAGGCTAGAAATTTCCTTCTTGGATTCATGTAGCTCTTCTCCTTCATGAATAAAGGGTCTATGAATTTCTCTGTAATCCATCAATAATGCCCCCCCAACAAAAATATAAAAAAAACAAAGATATGTGTCCATCTACAGCTAAAAATAAAAAATAAAGAGCAATTGTTTTATTAAAAAAAAAAAAAAAGTTCAGATTTTCCAGGTGTGCTAGGGCACATCTGTAATCCCAGCATTTTGGGAAGCTGAGGCAGGATTTCAAGTTCAAAGCCAGCCTCAGCAATTTAGCAAGGCCCTAAGCACCTCAGCAAGACCTTGTCTCTAAATAAAATTTTACAAAGGGCTGGGAATGTGGTTTAGTGATTAAGCATCTCTGGGTTCAATCCCTGGTACAAAAAAAAAAAAAAAAGAGTTCTGTTTTCATCCTTCATCACTCTGCATTCCCTTACACTGCCACAGTCATACTGTTTACCCAAACTTTTACACCTCTCTCTGAATAACTTACTGAGAGCAGGAATTGAGTGTCCTCAAGTGCTTCTGGCTCACAGTAAGCTAATAATAAAGTTTATTATAGGGCTGAGGATGTGGCTCAGTGGTAGAGCACTTGCCTGGCATATGTGAGGCACTGAGTTCAATCCTCAGCACCATATAAAAGGTGAATTAATTAAATTATGGTTTTTTTTAAAAAGTTTATTATAAACTTTTTGGAATACCAAAAATGTATTCTACCTTTAATTAATCTTTATGTGTGGACAAGTATGTTGTCTCTAATTGACTGTACCATTCCTTTGCTAGAATGCTTTCCTTGGACAGAAGATGCAAATTAGAAAACAAAATCACTACTAATCCTTTCCCCTTAGAGGAATAAGAGGAAAGAGTCAAGTAAATGAATAAATGAACGAACAATCCCTAAAAATTCCTGAGACAAAAAAGAACCCTTTAGCTAGGTTCAGTAACCTCAGGCAACCAGAAACTAGCTTTCCTTCACTTGGGGGGTGGAAAGAATGTGCTTGAAATTCCCTGCCCACACCACAAAAACAGCATCACTGTGCTACTGTACTATGTTAAGGCAACTTTTTCAAATATTGAATGAAAGGACAATATAGTGTGAAAATTTCAAGGGCTAAGAATAAACTTAATTTTTTTTTTTTTTTTTTTTTGGCAACAGGATCTCACTATGTTTGCCAGACTGGCCTCTCTTAGGCTTGTGAATAGCTGGAACTACAAGGTACGTCACCAGACTCTATCCTGTAAAAGTAGTCTACCTGAATAGAACAACATCTTTCAACATTGAAAGTTTGGGTCATTAATTACTGTTTTCTGTGATTTTGTGAGAGCAATTTTATTTGTATAACCCTACACTTAAAAAATGCAAATCATAAATCCACCATACTGACTTAACACACCTATAAGAACAAGAACTGCTTGACTTATACAAAATAGGAAAATAGAACCTATGTGTTAGGTAAAAAGGCATTCAATAAATATGCTATTATGCTGTCATCTGTAAACCTTTCTAAAAGCACATGTGGCCTATTTTAGACTAATGAATACTAGTAAGCATTTATTACATAGTTTTCATTTCATTTCACCTGGTATTCATACCAGGTTCAAATTATATCTAAACAAAAACCAGGTTTTGTTTGTTTTTACATGGGATGTGAAGGGTTGAACTGTCTATCCATTTAATACTATATGAGTTGTATGAAATTTCGTAATCTGGCTTGAAGAATTCATAACAAGTGTTTAGCTAAACCAATTTCAGGATACATGTTTTAGAGTAGAAATTTTTTTTACACAATCTGTAATTAAGTCACGATCTGTTACTTTAATCCTTTTATTAACACTACTTTCTGAGCAATGTCTAGCTCCACATATAAGTAGACTAGGATATAGTAAAGCTGGGACACTGAAATTTCACAATTGCAGCACATTAAATAATTTCTTTGCAAATTAACATTTTCCAATTATTTACAAGCAGATTTATGTTAAAATTGGGGGGGGGGATATTTTGTCAAGTTAGACTTCTGGCTTCTCAGTTTATAGAAGACTGCTCCCTCCCCAACCCTGTCCCCTAGCAGTTCCCTCCCCTGCCAGGAATTTCTTCTGACTCATCTTTGCCCATCTTTAACCATCACTCCCTTGGAGAACTGGCTCAAGATTCAGATCTTTGAAAAAGTCCACACTGGGTATGCCCATCTCCACCAACTTAATTCCTAACTTTGCATTCCCTTGGCACTTATACATACTTTGCACTACAAAACTCAAAATCCTCTAACTTATTTTGCACTTTTTCTATCATTTCTCCAAATAGAGACCAAGAAGAAACAGCATCTTCTTTTATATTATCTTTTACAAAGCCAACAATAAATGCTTCTAGAATATTTGAATCACCAGTGAAATATTTGAATCATCAGTTTTTCCATACTCTTCATTTTCATTACTCTATTACCAATGACAGGCATGAGTCCATGAGGAGAGGAGAGTTAATTTTTTAATTTTATTTTTTGAGGGGCCTCAAACATGTTAGGCAAGGGCTGTACCAGAGCCACATCCCCAGCACCAGATGATGGGATTTATTTTTGCTTCATCCCACAAATTCATAATAAAATATCCAGAACACAGATCATATACATACTTTTAAGGTAAAGAATAATCTTGGCTATCCAAACATTTCTTGTGATGTACCATTTCAAGTTTCTTATGAAACGTCTCCTAGTCTTGAAGCAGCATGCCTGTCAGCGGTAGGAAGCTGGCACCAGTCTCTTGCAAAAGGGGCAAAACTCTAGTTGGCAGTAAACTTTCAAACACGTGAGCCTCCACTGTTAAACAAGGCTCATTAACCACACAAACTTGCTGTTTCAGCTCTCTGGCTTCAATGAAGTGCTATGATCTCCTTTAGTTATTGTTGAGAGCCAATGATGGGTTAAATTCCCATAAATTAACCAGCACTTTGATGGTTTACCCAAGCATACCGGTGGCATCGGAGTGGATGGCTCGCTTTCTTTCTTTCTTTCTTTTTAATAGACCCGCCCGCCTGAGAAGCCAGAATGGAGTGAAGAAAAGAGCCAACCCGGCATTTCTTAGCAAGCAAAAGGAGAACTACAGAACTGGAGCCGATCGGCCTCCTCCTAGTTCTTAGTGTCAGCTTATCGTGCAGAGGGGGGAGCTTCACAAGCTGCTGCTCTTTGCTAAATCTCAGTCGAGTTCCTCGGGGGCAGCAAGCCACACTTAGGCTAAGGCTGCCCAACTTTTCCTGCAAGGAGCATCAGTTTTTCCATACTCAGAGACCCAGAAAAGGGGGGGTTGCAGTGAGGGGCGGAGGGAACCGGTTCGCCCCGCAAAAGATAGCAGAAACAAAGTGCGCGCGGGTGAGCCTAGGCCGTCGCCGCCGCCCGCCAGCCCGGCCCCGCTCACCCTCGAGCAGCACCTCCTTGCCCGCGCGCTTCAGCGCCTGCACGGCCTGGTCGTGGGTGGCCTGGCGCAGGTCCGTGCCATTCACCGACAGG